CCCCCGGCCGGGGGCGTAGCCGCGCCCGGGGAAGGGCGGCCTCACTCGGGCAGTCGCGGCTTGGTCTCCGCTGGGGGGTGAGCCCGCCCCAGCCCCGCGTGCCTCTCCGGAAAGGAGAAGTTCCGCGCGGCCCGGAGCTCTGCCGGCCCCGCCCAGGCCCGCCCGACCAGGGACCGCTGTGCCGAACCGGGCGGGCCGGTGCCAGGGCGGGATGCGCCTCTGACCTTCCGCCCTCCCTCCTGCCCCTGTTCGGGCCTGCTGTGTGGACCGAGCCGATTCGTGGGTTTCTTCTTCCAGACTGACGATGACGTTCACCGGGAGGACCCAGCGTCGTGCACTCTTTGTTCTTACTTTAATTTTTTATTAAGGAGAACTTTTTTATTTGACAAGATCTGCCTTCTGTGTATATATGTGCATAGGTGTGGTGTAAATATACTAAACAAACTTATATTTCAATAAAAGGGACTTTAAAATTAGAGTTTAATTCTGCGGGGTTCGGCTGCAGGCCTCTGGCGCCTGGCCCTCCCGCCCACCGACCTGGGAGCGCTGAGTCCAGCCCGGGGACTTCTGAACAAAGACAGGGCGTCCCTCTGTTGGAAATTCTCTTCAGCCAGACAGAGAAGGACGTAGGCAGAGCAGGGAGGAAAGCCGTTTCCTGCTAAGGCTGGGATCCGGAAGGGTTTCGCCATAATGTATTCCTGCATGAGTCATGTGGAAATGCTGGAGAGGCAGACCTGCCCCCCCCGAACACGCAGACGCCCCTTTCCGCCCACCCTGCCTTGCTGCGCGGTCCTGCCGGCCTTCCGGGTGTCTGATAACCTTGCACTCCCGCGCGGACCACCGGCACAGGCTGGAGGGCCAGACAGAGCCAAGCCGGGGCTGAATTCTGCCCCAGCCCCACCTCCCACGAGGGGCTGTGCCTTGCGGTTGGGACCCAGGCGTGGCCAGGTGACCCCACAGACTGCCCAGTACCTGTGGGACTTGGGAAAGTTACTTTTTGGAAACGCACAAGGGGAAGTGCTTTCTGGGCTCTGCCTGGGACTTTCTGGGCTCTGCCTGGGCTGCAGGTACTGTTTGTTCCAAGGGGAAGTGCCTGGGACTTTCTGGGCTCCACCTGGGCTGCAGGTGGTGTTTGTTCCGGTACTTTGGGCCCGAGCACCTCCCCCAGTGCCTTTTAGTTACTCCCTTTAACTCAGAGTGACTTCAGGTTTGGGCTCTAATAGTTTTTTAGACATGCCCTTGAAAACCTAGGGGTTTACAGGCTCCTGACGACACTGGCTGGGCCCCATTTCTGCGTTACTGAGGACTGTTTTACTAGTTAATGTCACCCTTAGGTTTTCAGGGCTTAGGCTAAGCCAATGCTTATTTGGGGGGAAAAAGTCCATGACTGGTGTAAGCCACATTTTTTCTAGAACATCCTGATAATGGCAAATACATCTTTTTTCAGAACACCGAGTGTGAGATCTCTGAGAAATATCTCCCCTCTATTACTACACTGCCTAAATTAATGGGAGCCGCTCTGCAAAAAGTGAGTACTCGGGAAACTGCACTTTTGAGCAGAAATAAGTTTCACAGACAGGAAATACAATCCCACCATCCTCAGCTGCTCCCCAGGCCGGGCATGGCCAGGCGGCGCCCAGAGCAGACGGCTCATTCAAACAGCTCTTCTGGGGTCCCGGGAGCCCCCTCTGCCTGTCGGAGATGCCAGCTCAGTTTCATGGAGGAGCGGGTCAGGAACTGGGCCTCCACTGCAGAGGCCGTCTTAGCTGTCGCTGTTTCTCTGGGCTCTGATGGGGCTTCCACGGAAAGATTCATGAAAGCTTCGCCAGGCCAGTGCGTGCCGCTGGGGACAAGCCATTTTTCAAATGAAAACGAGTAGGCTGCAGCACGGCTGCAAGGGGTGATGGGTCCTGCGGGCATGCTGTCCTCTGAGCCGCCTGGCACCACGCCTTCGGCAAGTGGCTTACCTCCCCATCGGTGACATGGAGTTTCAGTCGGAGTGTGGTGGGGTTTCCATGTTGACCAAACACAAGGCCCATAGGACTCTTAAATGTTTTTGCTATAAGACACATGGGCTTGCCAGAGAGGCGAGAGAGAGGGAAAGTGAGAAGTCACCCCCAGGGGATGGCCACGCCGCATTCCCTTCTCCACCATTCTCCTCTTGAGATTTCAGGCACACACGCACACGTGTCCAGCACGATTCCAAGCTGCTAGGTCTGGGATGTGAACCACAGTCGGCCATGGGGACCCAGAGCCTTAACCACCATGCCACCTACTGGCTCCACACATAATACTTTTTCTTTAAACACCTCATTTCCTATTCCTTAAAAAAGAAAAAAATTGTTCTTGGGCTTCATTATACTACTAATTTTCATCATCAAAGCCGAATCTATCCGTTTCCAAGGTGGGGATCAGTTTTTGACTTGGAAATAAATGCAACAAATTACTGAGTACACTCCTCCAGGCCGCAGAAGCCAAGGACAGCGGTTCGGTCCCTGCATGGGTGGGGCGAGCAGGTCCCTGTGGAGCCCTCCAGGGGCGGGCACGGGCTGCTGGGAGAGCGGGCACATCGCAGACCCACCACTGCTCTGGAGAGCGTTGGAAAGTGATGAACCTCTGCAGGGACAACCTTCCCAACTTCCTGCCAAGAGAAGAGTAAGCGGCCGACCTTTTCTCCCTGGATCTGACTGTTGCTGAATTCACTTTGTCAATGACAGTTCTAAACTCTATTAAGCCAACTCACCCTCCTGTCTTCAAATTGGGGAGAAAAAAATATATTGTAACACATTTTGGCACTTCTCAACCTTCTGCCTTGGAATCGCAGCGAGGAGAGCCCTCCAGCGCTGGGGCCTGGTTCTGTGGGTTACGTGGGTGAATGGATATCTGCAGTGCCTTCAAACAGTGCCAAGCATGGAGACGCGGCCCCCACGGCACCCTCAGACGGCGCCAGGCACGGAGACACGGCCCCCACGGTGCCCTCGGATGGGGCCAGGCACGGAGACATGGCCCCCACAGTGCCCTCGGACGGTGCCTGGTATGGAGACGCAGCCTGCAGGCTTGCTTGTCACTGGGGCCGCTCATCCTTCCGGGCACCATGGAGGCGAGGCCCTCCTGCCCGGCCCGACTGCGTCTGCACATACAGAACAGGAAGGGCATGTCTGTGCTCTGCCATGGCTCAGAAAACCCAGCCGAGGGCAGGAGTCGAGGGCTGACAGGGCGCGGCTGTTCGCTGGCAGACGGCCCATAGTGCCCGCGTGCGCTCTCGCGTGAAACCCCTCCTGTTCACAGTGAGGCTGCGATTCTACTTCACACGTGGCTTGCCAACCCTGGGAGCCCTGGGCTGGAATTTCACATCTTCTGTGCTACCAAAGAGATGCGCCAGTCGCGGGCCCCCCACGCCCGT